AATCTAATTTAAGGTCTTATCGTTATTTTCGTTCAATTAGGCCTCCTTACTCTCCCGTATTCATTATAATAAGCTGATTATTTTATTTTTTTATTCCTGAACTTAGTTAAGGCCATTTTTCCAACTTGGTTTCCCAAATTATCAACGATTCATGCGAAATCCATTATAAAAAATTATGGCAGGAAAACCATTCCTTTTAATAGTTCTTACATAATGTGAATATATATTAATTGGAGCCTCAAAACAAATATCGGTCATCCGAAAAATAACAACTTAAACATTTCTAAAGAAAATAGAAAAATTAACGGTCTAATAAATTAACCAATCTGGGTGCGCAATTAAAATTATTGCTTCAACTGGAATAGAGAGAAAGCAATAGCCGCACATTGGTCAAGTCAACAAATAATACAAAATGAAAAAAAAAAATACGTAATACAAAATTGAAATTATCGCTCAACTATCACGCCATTCACGTGGGTTTTCATTACTACTCTTAACCAAAGATATATTAAGAATAATAAAAAAAGGCCGAGTATATTGACTTGATTCATTATTCGTAAAAAATATTTTCTTTTAAATGATCTGAGAACCAAAATAATTTTTAAGTTTGAGTTCACTCGATGCTATATGGATTTAAGTTATACCCGATTAACCAAAATGTCCTTACTAAAATACCCTAAGTTTCAAAGCTTTGGGTGTTTAATTTCTGGACGGTACCTTCCTCTTTCCTATTTGATGTTTTGACCAAATACAATCATTTCTATTTTCACAAAAAAGTCTCGCACTTTATATTTAGTTATTTACACTAAATAAATTAATTTACCAAAATTAATTGATAAACAAAGATGAAAATATGTATTAGTCAATTATAGTCTCCTGATAACAATTTAGGTAAACATTAAATTATGCATCTTTGAAATAAGTGGGGCATTTGCATCTATACCCGCTTTTTGGATCACATTTTAACTTGTGCCCGCTTTGCAAAAAAGATTGCAAGCGTACCCACTTTTTGCGCATAACTTCAGCATACGGGGCTGAAGTATCAAAGACAATGACGCAAAACTTCAGCATTCTAGTAGACGGGACTGAAGTAGCAAGTATGTTGAACCAAGTGTGCTGAAGTTTTTGTTTGTAATTGCTGAACTTAAGTACAATAGCTAAAGTTTTGTTCTCTATTTGCTGAAATTTTTGTTTTTGTAACTCACGAACTTTAGCTCTAGAGCTGAAGTTTTTGTTTTATAACTGGCGAACTTCAGCTCTAGAGCTGAAGTTTTTGTTTTTGTAACTGGCGAACTTCAGCTCTAGAGCTGAAGTTTTTTTTTTGTAACTGTCAAACTTCAACTCTAGAGCTGAAGTATTTGTTTGTAACTGACGAACTTAAGCTTTCTTAGAGTTGAAGTTTTAACTGACTTTCCACATGAAAATTAGAGAAGAAGAACAAGATTCTTAACTGTACAAGAATATAGTAGGAAAACATCAGCACTTAATTCACCCATAAGCTCAAAAGCCATATCATACAGTACAACGTAATAACTTAAAGTATGAAATATATTTTTTTTTTCTTGAGAAGGATGATTAGGATCAGTATGAAATATATATTTTTTTTTTCTTGAAAAGGATGATTAGGATCAGGCTTCTTCTTTTCCATGTTGCTCAAGAGTACTTTTCTTGCTTCATAACTGCGTGCACAACAGAATAGTAAAAAACCAAATTAATGAAACACATGATAAATCGAGCCATTATATTGTTACATCAATGTTAAGTTCCGGAGAGATATGGAGATCACTGGGAGAAAGAGGAGGAGAAAGGGGGCTGAAGTTGTTTAAAAAGTGGGTACAAGTTAAAACTTTTTAAAAAAATGGGTATAAGTTAAATAGGGGCGACCAAATAGGACGCCCCGTGCAATTTTTACGAAATAAGTCGAGGTAAACGGCCCAATGTTTGAACAAAAGTAGATTCATCCTTCTTCTACTATCCAACTTACAAAATGGGCAGAACAAAGGGTATATATGGGTCGGGTTGGTTCGGGTTTTTAATTATCAAACCAAATCAATAAAAGTCGGGTTTTTTAATCTCAAATTTTCGAGTTTTTGTTTTCATAAAGTCTTCATAGCACAAACATAAATTTTGTGCTCCAAATATTTCTTTGATCATAGTAAGACATAATTATATAAGGTGTTTTTCAAAAAAATAACATAAAATATGAGATGAGTTATAGCATTGTACTAAAATACTCAACAATAAAGATAATAAAATTGCATAAATAAATATTATTAATATGCCATAATGAAAATAAACATAATCTAAAATTACTAAGTTGTTGAAATAAGTACGACTAACAAGTAGTACTATTTTTACATGACTAAACACAATAAAAAAATAAGTTGTGCATTTTATTTAAACCATGAAAAAACTACAAAAATAGATATCCAACACTATTGTGTCATCCCAGTGCAATTTAATTGAATGTCTTTTATTAACATTAATATTGACTATAAAACTTATTGTAGCATTCAAGAATTATAAGTCCAAGTTTAAAATAATACGTTAAAAGATAAAATTATGAAATGTTTAAGAAATATTTATAAACTACATAACAATAAATATTATTATGTATTAAGTATATTTAAAACTTCTATATATGTAATGTCGGGTTGGTTTGGTTCAGTTTGACCTTTTTAGTTATTAAAACCAAACCAAATCAATTATGATCAGGTTTTTTCTCTTAATACCAAACCAAATCATAATCAATTTTTTTTTCTCGTTTTGATTCAATTTATCGATTTGGTGCGGTTGTTAGTGTTCTTTGTACACCCCTAGTCAGAACCAGGAATATGGGTGGAGTCATTGAAGATGTGGACCAAAATGTCTTTAAACATGCACGATAAATTTGTGGATGGTAAAGCAAACGTAGTTAACTCACTGCCCAATATCGGCAAAATAATTGACAACATCAATTATTGTCCTCAATAGCAATAATAAAAACACATCCAAGAAAGTCAACAGATAGTTTTCTTGAATACCATGACAAATACAGGCATCTAAAAGCGGCATTATATCTAGGGCCTTGATGGTTGGTTTGAGTCGGTTTTCTCCTAAAAAGAAACTAAAGTAAATAAGTTGATTTTTTCAAGTATTGGAACCAAATCAAACCAATTAAGTCAGTTTTTTATCGATTCGATTTTAATCAGTTTTTCGATTTTTTTGGTTATTTATCGGATTTTTTCTTAAATATGAGACATACACTACCAAACGCATATTCCGGCGATTATATTTTCAACGTAACACTATCGAACCAATTGCTCTTTAAAAAATTTATCATTTACCAAGATATATTGATGATAATTGAATCAAATAGTGATGAATAATTTAAGTACTCAATTAAGAATTGATTATTTTTAACATGAAATAAATTATTGTATTTAGCAAAAGAAAACTACCAATCAAACTAAAGTGTAAAGACAAAGAATTAAATTAATATAATAGCAAAGAACTAGACTAAAAATACAAACGACTAATATGTACCATAAAATTTTAGAAACTTTATATAAAAATATACATATATATAGGTGCAATAATAAATTTAAATAGATACTTTTATAGTCGGTTTGGTTCAGTTTTTTTTGGGTTATTTTTTTATTAAAACCCAACCCAAACCAAATTTGATCGGTTTTTAAAATTTAAAACCAAAACCAAAGCAACCTAAAAAGTATCGGGTTTTTTTGTCGGTTTGGTTCGGTTTTCGATTTGGTTCGGTTTTTGGGTTTTTTATGAACACCTCTAATTATGTCAATACATTTGGCAAACAAGAATAACTGGATAACCACCTCCATAATCTACTGTAACCAATAATTTGTGCTTCAGCTACACAGTTTGAGAGTCATATTTCATCTTCAGGTTCCAAACCTAGAAGTCAGCAGAGAAAACCAACGCAATGCCCATTTCGTTAGTTCAATAGTTTACTTCAATTGAAATAAGAAGCCTCTAAAGGAGTCTTCCACTTTCAACTTTCACCCTTTGTTTTTCAAGACTTAAACAGCATTGGCTATAATCCAAGCTTTGGAAATACATTATTTGATGAAAATTGAACAGTAAGCACAAGATGCAAAATGTTGATACATCTGTGTAAAGAGAGCTAGTAAACTGAAATGTCTGATCTATCTAGATGAGAAAAAAGAACAGCAACAGAAACAGAATCATACAAATGCATCATTCAGTATGGTACCATACATGTAGTTACTGAATGTCATCCACCTAAAACTTTTTTATTTATTTATAGCAATAGTGTTCCGGCCAACTTGTGCACAAATCGACTATTCCACCAGTGACAACACAATCTGCCAATTCCTACCAACAAAGGTACTGGATAACTATACGACTATTCCACCAGTGACAACACAATCTGCCAATTCCTACCAACAAAGGTACTGGATAACTATATCGGCCAAATCTTAGGCTGATGGGAATAAATCATACAGTAGAATTTTTTTTCTTTCTGGTACTGTTTGAACCCTGGTCCACAAGGATAGACAAATAAAAGATAGGTGTAACAAATATCAACTTGATTCAATCTATATAACACAATTCAGTACTACCCTTTTCTCCAGAAGCAAATAACTCTAAAACGATTCTGTCAATTCTGCGAGAAAATTTATCGTAAAATACACAATGAGTTCAGATAAAAATCTCACATTTCTACTCTACAGTAGTTGGCTCAAAATCTTGATCCCTATCAGGTTGTTACCTTGATTTTTAAAATATTTATATTAGATTATATACTGAAGCTCTGTTAACAAAATCATAAACCATTATTCATAAGATAATTCAGTTGCAGCCAGATTAAAAAATATAATGCTGTTGGACAGATAACAGTATGCTTGTGTATCCATGTTTCATAGCAACACCATAGTGGGGCATGAACGACTAAGGATCAACACAGAGTAGACCCTTTCAATTTCTTTTTAGTATATACTAAGGCCACACCATCCAACATAAACGAATTCAGGAAGGGGAAGCAATTTCTAACAGATAAATAAACAATCTGTACATTTCAACTGATCTACATGGTTCTTCTTTGCTAATGTATAGGTCATTAAATGTCAGGAGATCAACAAAGACGCCAACTTGAAGGTTGTTGACCTTGTATCCAAATATGGACTTGCATTTGAACATACAATTACCTCCTTAAATCAAATAAGTGTTACCATTGTAAATTTGAAGAATAGAACCTTTGCACAAAAATATTCACCCACCAGTGCTTCCAATCCCTTGAAACAAGCTGTGCAGATTCTTCATCCACTAGTCCCTTTTCCAGTAGTATGGATCACTAATATCCTTCAGATTTGTCAGCCTCGTCAACTTTGAATTCAAATAGGACATTGTTAATTTGCAATTTCAAGTTTGTTTAGACAGGCATAAGGGAGAATTTCAGGTGATAAGTGGATTCTAGCTGCTAAAGGGGAGACCACAAAGCTGGGAAAATAGCATTAGTTAGGTTGAAGCCAACAGCAATAGCAGCATTTTAGCCAGAACAAATGCCATGTTTTCTCATTAATTCTATGCTCTCGGCAATTGTTGACCCAGCAGTGCCAACAAAACCAAGAGAAGCGCAGCTGCAGACTGTTTCCTCTATGTATAGGAGAACATCAGTTAAAGATTGAGGATGGTGACGGTTGTTAGTCCCTGCTGAACTCGGTAAAATTGAACCAAGTTTTAGCCCATGCCCTGCAGCCATGACTTCTTTAACCGTTTCTTGAACCAAGTCATCTTCTTCTCTAATAACAAACAACTTAAAGGCATCTGAATCTTTTGCTATGCTCCCCAAGTAACTTCCCGTCCAATTAGCCATGGGAAGATCAGTCATAACAAATACATGGATCGGTTTCTGTCCAGTTTGCTTCAAAGATTCTAGCTTCTGCTGCAGACCAAGAAAGGTAGCTTTGTGGTGGTTCTTGAATTGCCCATCTAGTAGCCTGAGCTGTGCACAAAGAAAGGGACCCTTGATAGTTTGAAGAGCAAACTTCTTGCCAGCATTTACTATTTCAGGAACAAAGGGGAGGAACTCTATCTTTTCGATTAAGGTCTGTATCACAGGATCATTAGGAGATTCATGAATGTCGATATGGGATTCAGATCCCTTATAAGGAGCAGTAAAAAGGCTTCCAAACGCCAAAATAGTGGCTGATTCTGCTGCAGAACCAGGACCAAGAGCCTTATATACATCTTTTCTTCTCCTAATAAATGAAATCTTCTTTTTCTTCTTAAGTTGTTCATCCGGTTGAAAGGAGTCTAATGCCCCGTCCTCGACATCGTTTTGATATGTCCAAACTGTCATTCTACAGTCATCTTCTAAAGCAGTCAAACAATCACTTATACTACCATAATAACCAGACAACAGAGAACCGCATTCTCTAAGTCTCTCAGATAAAGGATATGGAATAGTTTGGTCTTTAGAGCAAATATCATCAAAGTTTACACCACACCACAAAGACACAAAAGCTCGAAAATCAATAAATCTCACTGTTGAATAAGACACAAGTGGTGAAATGTCAACTATATCAGCCATGGACACATATCTGCAACACACAAATTAAGCAGATTATTAGAAACTTCCTAATACTCCATCCAAGAAAGCATGTCTTCTTTTTTCAGTCAAAAACCAAATGGACAATGAAATTTAATAGTTAATATTTTACAGCTTATCAAGTCCAGGTTAAATCCGCAGCAGAAAGATAACAACAAACATGATAGTACGATTGCAATGCATACAAGGTTCACAGAATAGTTTCGTCACTGTGTCTAAGCACATAGTTTAGATGCTCTAAGCGCATTGAATCAGTCAATCAACTAGGTCTCACTCTATTCACGAGCATTCCACTCAAAATTTGTCATTTGAGTATGGGTTCTCTAGAATTAGAGATTTACTATATCCACATATATTCCTACACTGGCATATAACTAAAAAGCTCCTGACAACCACTGAACTATAGCTTCACATATTCTCCGTCTGTCCCATTTTATGTGCCACATTTCTATATTTAGAAACAATGTAACTTTAAATTTCTCATTTTACCCTTAATAGATGATTTATAGCAACAGAAAACTTTCTTTGAATCAATATCTCTACATAATTCAGTCAGATAAATTAACAAACATAAAATAATACAATTTTCTGAGCTAAAGGGAACTGGAACAAATTTCTACACTACCTGCAATCACGCAATAGATGGATACTATGATTCCAAACAGCGTATCTCAACTCAATAGGGTTCAAAACCCTAAATTTAGGACAACTACCAAGCGCAACAGCATGATGATCCAATACGGGAGGCACAATTAGGGTTCGATTAAGGATCTTAGCCATCAAAATAGCGTTCTTGAACTCAGCCAACTGATTACTGAAACCACTGTGAGGTGCGTACCACAGGAACTTTCCCTGCAGGCGATTTGTGGGGTTGCATTGCGAGGGGCGGGGTATAATGGGTATTTTTGATTTTTGGGGAAGGGGAAGAAGAGAAGGGGAAATGAAGTTTTTGAAGTAGTAGAAGAGGAAAATTAGAGTGAAGAGAAAAAGGAAGATTAAAAGTGGAGATCTTTGCTTCCTCTTTGATTTGTTGGGTCTAATGAAGGTCTCAGTTTCCATTGGATTCAAATCTTCTCTCTGAATTCTTGGATCAGAGATGGTGGACAGCTTCGTTTAGTTTATCAACAGTGACCTGCACTCCCAACTTTGAGAGACAGAATTACTGTTTGTCATTTGGATTTGGTTGTTTTATATGGGTATTAGCTAATTCTCATATTATTATCCCATAATAAAGATAATACATTAAATTGTATTTTCCATTTCAATTTATTTTTACAAAAATACCTTTTATATTTTAAACTTTTTATTTTATAATAAACTAAAAAAATATTAATCATACCAAATAAATTATTATATGAAAATTTTATTTTATATATTAAGATTAAAACAACAAAGCATTAAACCTTGAGATTATAAAAATGACTACAAGCCAACAAGTAATTAACACCCAAAATTCAACCCCCATACCTATTCAGCTACTTTAAGTGAAAATAAATTAATTTTAGTATATGGAGTAACAAGTCACAAAGTATTCAAGCGACCTTAAGTAGCAAGCCATAATATATTGGATATTTTTCCTTTCACATGATTTATTTCTCCAGTTAGATACTTAATTTTTTAATAGTAACTCTATGCTTGAGTCCACTAATGTCTTTTCACTCGTGTGATCTATGTTTCTTTTGTATTCGCTTTATTTATTTTACGTTGTTGTAAAATTAATAGTGGGATAAATCTCTTTTCTGACAATCTTTTATGTTTTTTTAATTCATCTACTAGAGATCTTAATTCTTATATATCGTTTTAATGAATTACCAAAAATTAATCGAACTGCACTAATACGAAAGGAAACCGAAATGATTGGATTGTTCGAAAAATCCAATTTTGATAATATAAAATAAGTAATTGAAAAATTAGTATAGTACAATTTTTATAAAATAACTGACTAGAACCGAACCATTGACTCCCCTACTTATTGCCATACAAATATTTTAGACTATAATTTTAAGATTTTTTTTAATTTCTTAAATTTCGTGTCTAATTAAATTATATCATATAAATAAGATAAAAAGAGTGTAAAATAATAATTAAAATAATGTTTGAAATTACTTATTTTTGGACCAAACATGAATAAAATAATGTCACATTTTATGTTGAGATTATTTTCTTGATCTCCGAACCCCTAGGTTAGTGTGAGTTTTAATAACATACAATTATTCTATTTTGCTTATAATGGTGTTTTATCTTTTAGCGGCGCCAGAGTAGCTGGTCTCTGTTGGTTTCTCTCTGAAACACAAGAAAAAGTTTTGCTCTTTCTCTTTCTCATCGCAAAATCGCTGCTTTAGTAGTTGATCATCTCTCAGAAATGGCGACGTTTCGGTTGCAGTCATACAGCTCGCCACCACTCCCCTTCCGATCACCGCCGTCAACTCTACTTCATCATATTCCTCCACCCCGCAATCGTACCTTCAACTCTTTCTTTACCAGGTAAGTACCTTCATTTGTTCATAGCTTTCTCTTGTGTAAACTAAACTGATCATATAAATGTCTTATTTAATCAAATTCAGGTTGAAAATGTCAACACCAGAAAATCGTACCGTTGTAGGTCTTCCTCCCTTTGACTTTCTCTTCACATGTGAAAAGAATATATGCTGAAATTGTTGTAGAATTTACTATATGTATTAAATTTGTTATGCGTTTTTTGAGCAGCTAGGTTGTGGAATGGCGGCTGTGGATTTCCTAGTTGCTGTTGATTCTTATCCTAAGCCTGATGACAAGATTCGAAGCACCAGTTTTCAGGTGATTGATTTTGTGTGTGATTGTTAGTGTGCTGTCTTTTAAAAAAAAAAAGAATTTCAGCTGAAATTTCAAAGGAAATTTATGTTTTTTATTAGGTTCAAGGAGGTGGCAATGCAGGGAACGCTTTGACTTGTGCAGCTCGTTTAGGCTTATCTCCAAGAATTATATCAAAGGTATGACATTTCCAAGGCTTATAAATACCAATTAACTGTATAACCTATCTCAAATTCGTGCTCTTCTTTTTGTTCTTACTATTCAAGTATAGGTTTAGCTGTGTAAGTTTCTTATTTTTGTCAGACCACATTTTATGTTATAAGAGCTTCAAAGAAGCATTCCTTTCTTGGCTCAACGCGTAAGAATTCCCAGGTCTTTGATCTAGTAGTAAGAGCGCAACGCGTAATGTGTTGGTTACGCGCACGTAGCGGGTTTGAACCCTGCCGCAGGCGAAAACCCGATATTTAAGTGCAGAAGGGTTGAGGGGCAGGCCCATTATCTACCGAGTTTCGAACCATATGCCATTGGCCCTGGGAGATTCCTCAGTTCTGGGAAAAAAAAGAAAAGGAATTCCTTTTTGTTGCCCCCTGAAAACATTGTTTTGCTGCATACAGATAAGAATAGAACTTTTAGATATGAGATAAAGAACTCCATTATCGTGTCATAGCACTGTTAAAGAACACAAGTTCTATCTTAGCTTGGCTGTAATTTGCTTCTTGAACCTTTGAACCTGTTTCCTGCTATTGGAATTGACAAACACTGATTTACCTCCTGGCAATATGATTTCCTAGAGAGACTTCTGTGTTCCTTTAATCTGGACTTGTTGGAGAAAGTCAGCCTTCAATGCCAAAGCAATATGTAATTCTACCAGAATAAACTTGTCTACTAAACTTGTCCCACATTATGTGGTCAAGATTCAACTGCTAATATTACTTCCTGTTCCTCTAAAATCCGCATAACGTGGAATAAATACATATCTATTAAAGTGCAACCCAACTCATTGTGTACTTTGTATCATTCAGGATAATTGCTTAAGGAGTCACCTATAATTGTCATTTCTATGAAACTACTTTATTCCTTCACCTTTCCACACACAACCCTTTTGCAATAATGCATTGAAAATCTTCACATTTTTGTAACATTTTTGCTGTAGATTGCGGATGACTCTCAAGGAAAAGGAATACTGGAAGAGCTGGAAGCTGATGGAGTTGATACATCGTTTATGGTGGTGAGTTTGACAAAGTTTAAACTTGAAGGTTCTTGCATGTTTCTCTTGAATAATTATGGATGTACTTTCATGCATCTGTTAAATTTATCACAATCTGAACTATTTCCAATTTTTAGCAAAACAGATATAACTTAAGCAGAGTATTTAATGTGCTTCAACCTATAATTTTGGTTCAGGTTTCCAAAGGAGGCCACTCGACATTCTCTTATGTCATTGTCGATAGTCAAGCGTGAGTGGCTAATTGGATTCCTCATTACACTAATTTTCCTGTGCTAAAATTGGGACTTGACTAAATGTATGGCAGAATTTCCAAAGTATTCAACTATTTTTCTCCACCATATTTTGCATGGATGAAATATAAATATTAGTATACAATTGGATTGCTGTCCTTTCTGCACTTGTTCTATTGAAACTGTTAGCTCTGCTCATGATTAATCTTGTTTAATCTCCCAGGAAAACTCGTACTTGCATTTACACTCCAGGATACCCGCCCATGATACCTGAGGATCTATCCAAGTCAAACTTGTCTTCAGCTCTGGATGATGCGAGACTTGTCTATTTTGATGGAGTATTGCAAGAAACTGAATTGTTGTCAGCTTTAGTTGTGGCCCAAGAGGTAATTTTAACTTGGTGTTCTTTGTCACGCAAATTGGAGTCATGGAATCCTATGTTGCTCGGACTCTCCGAAAATGTCTCCGGGTGCGTGTCAGATCCTCCAAAAGTAGTGTATTTTTGGAGGATCCGACATGGGGGCGGCAACATTTTGGAGAGTCCGGGCAACACAAATGGAATCTGCTATCTTACTGTCTGCTTCTGATCATATTGCTCGTTTCATCCTAGATCCTACATACCGAGTACTTAACTCTTTTTCTTATTTATGTTCAAATTGTTCGAAGACTTATGTTTTCAACCAAATGGAGAAAACTGCATGCCTCTTGGATTTCAAGTGCAGGCACATCGGAGGAATATACCTATTGTAATTGATGCAGAAAGTAAAAGAGAAAGGGTAGATGACCTTCTGAACTTGGCAACTTATGTTGTATGCTCAGCGAGATTTCCACAGGCAAGTTAGCTAAGCTGGCAAACTGCATCGAGATGATTCCTTTGCTGCACTGTTTTCAATTTATATATCTGGTGATCTGCTTCTAAATCTTAGTTGCTAATAAGGTCTAGGTAAATGAGTGAATATTTTAGATTTAGATTGTTTCTTCATCTCCTTGGTATCTGTAGCTAATATGCTCTACTAGGAGTGAAAGTTGTTGTTTCCCGATTTTAATTCAATACTATTTCTAAAAAAGGTAAATAATGTTATTCTTCACCTCCTAGCTTTACTTGTGATATCTTTGTTCCTTTCCAACCTTTCAGAGGTTGAGCTTGACAAAAGATGTATTGTCACCCAGGCATGGACAGAGGCCCCTTCAGTTCCAGATGCTCTTGTTTCTGTACTTCTGAAGTTGCCAAACATCAAATTTGTAATAGTGACACTGGGTGAAGATGGCTGCTTGATGCTACAAAGAGCTGAAGCTGGTATGCTTGCATACTTTTGGTTCTTCTGATGTATGTTAAGTGTCTGCTTGTTGGCAAACAAATTGTTTTGAAAGATAAAGAAGAGGTGTCTATTTGCTTTTTGCTATTTGTTGATTTGCAGAGGATTTCCAGTCTGAAGAAATTGATGTTGATGACTTGTTTGAGAAAATGAAGCAGAGCGTTGATGCTGATGCAACCAGTCCAACATGCGTATCCTCGGTAATTCACCAATAAGAAGATTTTATCATTCAATAGATGACTGAAGCATGGTCTCAGTGCTCACACACACAAAGAAATCCATGTACACAATTCATTTTGGTCTAGTCAACCACTATTAGGTGGAATCTATCGTGGGAGTGGGAGTCATGTATGGTTCTTCCCTGCTTAGTACCCTTTTTCTCTTACTTCATGAGATTGAGCTTTACAAATATGAATTGCCTCCACATGTTCTCTTTGCAGTCATACCGTTACTCATCACTCTCTTAAATTTATCTTTTTTATACGAGACTAATTGGTGCTACTTATGAAGTTTTTTTCTGGCACTTCTTCTGAAGCTGAATAGAGTATGTTTGTAGATTGATTAAGTTATGATATTTGAGCCTAACGTACATG